ATTGACAACAACGATATCTAGTCGAGTGTCATTGTTGACATCACCAACAGCTACAGATTGTGGAAAAGAGCCAACTGAATACTTTGTTTGATTTTCAAAAGAACCATTCCCATATCCAAGAAGGACACTTACATCATGGCTATCCATATTGACAACAACGATATCTAGTCGAGTGTCGTTGTTGACATCACCAATAGATACAGATTGTGGAGAAGAGCCAACTGAATATCTTTTTTGATTTTCAAAAGAACCGTTTCCATATCCAAGAAGGATACTCACATCATTGCTATCCCAATTGGCGACAACGATATCTAACCGAGTGTCATTGTTGACATCACCAATAGATACAGATCGTGGATAAGAGCCAACTGAATACTTTGTTTGATTTTCAAAAGAACCATTCCCATATCCAAGAAGGATACTCACATCATTGCTCCACAAATGGGCGACAACGATATCTAGTTGAGTGTCATTGTTGACATCACCAATAGATACAGATTGTGGATAACGGCCAACTGAATACCTTGTTTGATTTTCAAAAGAACCATTTCCATATCCAAGAAGGACACTTACATCATCGCTACGCACATTGGCAACAACGATATCTAGTCGACTGTCATTGTTGACATCACCAATAGCTACAGAGTATGGCTCAGAGCCAGCTGAATAGCTTGTTTGATTTTGAAAGCCTTCGTAACGTCCAACAAGAATATCAATGGCACCAGTATCATTGTTTACAACGACAATATCTAATCGATGGTCCTTGTTGAAATCACCTACGGCAACTGAAATCGAAGAAGAAGATCCGGTTGGATACATAATTGAATTTGCAAATTTGCCGTTCCCATATCCAAGCAGTATGACAATATTGTCAGCGCCTTTATTCGTGGTGATTATGTCCAATCGATTATCTTGATTGAAGTCTACTACCGAAATGGCAATTGGAGAAGCTGAATTGATGGAATACTTGACTTGATTAGCGAAAGTTTCATTACCATTATTTAGGAGCACACCTACTTCATGACTTCCAGAATTAGTGATAGCGATATCGAGAAAGTTGTCTGCATTGAAATCACCAATGGCAATGGAGTATGGTTGAGAATCAATGCCAATTGAGATGGTAATTTGTTTTGCAAAAGTGCTGTTGCTATCTCCAAAAAGTATCACAATATTGTTAGTGCCATAATTGGCAATGGCGAGGTCTAAATAGTTGTCATTATTGAAATCTCCAGCAGCTATTGAGGGCGGAAAAGAATCGTAACCTGTCGGATATGTTATTGGAAGCGAAAAACTTCCATTTTCACATTGATAGTATATACTGATACTGTGGTTTCCGTAATTGGCTATGGCAATATCAAGTAGTGTGTCATTGTTGAAATGAGCACCGATAATTGCTATTGGACGAGAGGAGCCTGTTGAAAGTTCTGTTTGATTTGCGAAAGACCCATCGCCAAGTCCATGAAAGATAACGATATTGTTAGTGCCAAAATTTGCTACTGCAATATCCAAGTAAGAATCGTTGTTGAAATAACCAACTGTGACCATGTAAGGACTTGAGTAGGAACCAGTTGAATATGGAATTGGACTTTTAAAAGTGCCATTACCATATCCAAGATAAACAGTTATTGTGTTAGCTATATGATGAGCAATAACCATATCCAAACATGTGTCATTGTTGAAATCATCAGCGGCAACAGATCGTGGGCCATACTTGTATTCAACTGGTTTTTGAGCCGTTGATTTGAATTTGAGCTCACATTTTTGAACTAAACAACAGATGAAAAGCAGTGTGATGACTGATTGGTTGCTCAAGTGCGACTATTACTGTTTGATCGTATTGGATCCTTACAAGTTTTATAGTATGCTGTCAGAAATTGTCATATTACTGTATTTGTACGCAACTCAAAATCAATCATCTTTCATTAGAATTCTACTTAGTTTCTTGAAATTCAGATAGAGCTAGATATATGCGACTATATCATGCAAGTTAATTTTCTATTTCCCTTCTTCGATTTACTCTAGAATTTGTTCAAAAAGTGCGTCATCTTTGAGAACGAAGACAAACATCAACGAATACAATATGACTGAAGAGTGTAAGAATGCGCCAAACTGCATGATTAAATGTAATCGCTTCCACATTTTACAATCTCTTTTTCTAGCATTTACTTTGCTAAAAGTTTGATACAATAGATGAAAGTTTCATATTTTTACATGCTCAAACGGTTATCAAAATTACTGTGTTAGGTAATACTTTCAGAGGTTCTATTAGTATTTTGAATTAATGATTATATTAACAAATAGAATATAAAAATTAACAAAACTATGAGGATAGAGAAAGGGATGTGAATCTACTTGCTGAGTAATCATACACGAACAGCACAATATACGAGCGAAGAGGAAGAGATAGATGACGCACTAAATGATGGCCTTCGTTGTAAATGCAGACGTTAATGGTTCGATGATAAGAACAACGAATAGTGATCGATAATTTTTGTGTGATACATGCGCAATTATTCAGTTCAACTTTTTATTTCTTACAATTACAAAACTATGACTTCGATCGACGTATTCCATCAGAAACGCTCGTACGTATTATTTTGAGTTTTTGATTATAGATTCTCCATGTAATCTTATTTTATCTATAGAAAGTGGCTAACATATTAATAAAAAAGAACATACCAGTAACTTTTGGTGAAGTGAAACAAACAGTCAATATACCAATACTCATTGCTATAATTGTGAATACAGCAAATGCACCTGCACCAATTGAAGATCGATGTCGCGACCAATGCGAAAATTCTCTAATAAAGACATTCTATACATTATTATGACTGAACACAAAAGAAAATTATATACAAAGGTGTCGGAGTCATTGGTGACTTCTTTGTTGTATTAGTAGCAGTGGCACATTCTGCTAAATTAAATTCATTTTGCGTTGAGTTTTCACATTGCTCATTGTCAACATGAGGATGTTGTGCAGCAGGTGAATTCTCAACTGAGATAGCATCATCAGTCGTAGAATTTTTATTCATCTATAGTAAAAAAAACAGTATTTAGTAAAAGATAGTTTTCAGTAAGTATTCATCGTTCACTAGAATACTTTTCTATAAATTACCTTTCGAGTTATCGATAATGTCCTTTCTATGCTGAAAAGTTGCAAAGTCTTGAGAAATTAGAAAATATCTAAAATAACAGAATTAATTACATTAGTGATAATAATTTAGAACATCAAAGAGTTACATATTCGTTTTTTTCGAAAAAGTGCCTATTTCTTGGGTATGGATAGCCTCTTAATAAATACCAAAATAATCAGGCTATGTCAAACAAAGACAACGCTTCAAAAAGTTTCGATCTTATTCAAAAGCAAAACATAGATAGGTATTAGAAACATGAACATAGAACACAGTGTGAGCCAGTACTCAATGAGGTATACTTTCACAAAAGTTCTTTTTTTTTGTGCCAAGTTGACTCAATGGACTGAACTCTATTTGTTAATACATGGTTTTGCTTTCAACTCATTAGTTTAAACATTTGTAAACATTCCATTGGTAACGTTTTCCTTATTGATATGTCTTGTTTGTTGATAGCTTTGGTTTCGAAATCTTTTTAGTCAGTGAGAATATACTTTATTCATTAAATGATGCATTCTATTGTTGAGTATGATTTAGACGTGTTTACCAATGAATTTAATTTTTTTTTTTGAAAGTATTTAATTATTTCTATAAGGTATTTTGTCAATTGAATCATTATCGATCGAATACCCGGAAAGGTTTTTCATTTCATTCAATCAACTATACATAACTCTAGTGATTGGACTAAGATAGTCGTGATTATGGTAGGATTCAAGCTGCAAATTTGCTGACTATCTAAGACCTTATTCTAGTTAGGGCATATGAAAAGTAGTGGCGGTTTCATCACAATTTCGTATAGACGGCTTGAGAAAATTTTCTTTTTATATAGACTGATAGTCAAAACAAAGCTCTACATTTCTACACTATTTGATCATTATTCATCCAATATTGTAATAATAAAATTTTCATTAGAATAGTTCAGCTACAATATGTAACGATAACAGTAAGGAGAAAATAGCAGAGGAATATTTTTAGAAGAACTTTTGATAGAAACAAGTAACGCTCGTTTATGTGACTCGCTGGACCCTCGACTGTATATTCGGTCCTTTGGTATTTTATATTGTGCTACAGTATTCAAAACAGCTAGTATCCAACGTGTCAAAAGAATGGATGGATGTGTGTATTGATATTAGCGTCAATCTTGTTGTGCATAATGGTATGGGAATCTGAATGAACATTTTTGCCACAAGTATATCGAATCAAATCGATATCCCCATATTTATACTCAACAATAGTCTAAGGAACTACATTATGGCAGCAATATCCACATGCACCCAAAAAAAAAGATTATATTCAATTTTTTGAGAGGTCACGAAGCAAAATGCATTCACGACACTATTGTGAAACAGCGCCATACTGCTTGAAATTTCTACTAGAAAACTATTGGCTTACCAAAACATCAGCCGACAATATTTTTTACTGGTGTATGCGCTACAAAAAGACGGGTTCAGTTGAATTCCTAGCTTAAAATTAATCACACTAGATCTAGTCTTCAATCGAACTGCCATACTTGAAAGAAGCTGATACTCAAAGTAACCGTCAGATTAGATAGATAATTTGAATTTATCTGTATACATTTCAACATTTGAATGAGTACAGACAAGAACACATAGCAGCAGAAAAATTCCCGTTTATTTCATTTATATCTACTTCTGATACCATGAATATAAAACCTGTGACTGATGTTTTTCGTCAAATGTAGTATTAAAATATTGTGCACCTGCATAAAAAGCGTTGTCACACTTTATTTCAAAATATTTGACAGTTCTTACGAACTGCTAGTCCTTACTCAAACCCATTAGGTCTAGACTATTGATTTTTGTTTGATGAATACAGACAGCCCGAAGTGTGTCTTCAAGAGATTTTCTAGTGCACCGGCTAGTCGTTCGTCGGAAACCCTTCGAAACACTACTCATGGCTAGTCACTGTTATGTTTCATTCTATTTCTCCATAATACCATCCTTTTTTTTATTTAGACTTCGTCTAATCTCAAATTCGGCTTAATTTGACAGACTACTTGATCTGTAGCACAAGAATTCTCAATGGGGATTTCTAAACCAAAGCATCATTGTGAACTATTTCTGATTTCTTCAATTTCAGTCTGTAACTGGAAAATCAGAGTTTTATTGAAATTTCTTATTAAGGAAATATTAGTGAGCATTCACAAAAAAATCTAGCTTTTAAACTTATTTTTCATGAGCGAAATCTGCAGAATGGTTGCAATATGAGCCATTAGTCGTTCGTTTTACATAAGTGCACTTATCCGAACAGTTTGTTTATTGTTATTTAACATAAAAGATATGACATCATTTTTATACGTCAAATTTTTATTACTTTCTTCGAGTTATCGCAACTGGAAATTTCACAAGTTGGAGATCCTCCAAACATACACAAGGTTAAAAAATTGTTTTTTTACATGAGTTGCCTAATTCGAATTCGAATATAAATGGAGACGTCACTGTTTATGGTTACTTCAAAAATAAATGAAAAAAACGCCTTCCCTGTTGAAATAGCAAAAAGGCAAAAGAAATAATTTTATATAAATTATGAATTTATAAATTTATAAATGAAAAGGCACACCCATGTCGAAATACCAAAAAAGAAAAAGAAATAATTTTATATAAATTATGAATTTATAAATTTATAAATGAAAAAAGGCACACCCATGTTGAAATAGCAAAAGAGCAAAAGAAATAATTTTCTATAAATTATAAATTTGTAAACGAAAACGCACACCCATGTTGGAATGGCAAAAAAGCAAAAGAAATAATTTTATATAAATTATAAATTTATATATAAAAAAGCATACGTATTGTGTAACAGTAGAAAAGGAAAGTATTTATTTTGCATAACTTAATCACGTATGAGCGAAGAACGTATTAAGACAAAATTTGCCACATCTAACTAATCT